CAATAGAAAGCAGCATGCTTACATAAACAAAATAGTAAAACAGCACACAGCACACTGTTAACCCTTCGATCGCCCCAGATGTTAACCCCTTCCTGCCCAGTGCACTAGTACAGTGTCAGTGGGGATGTCAGTGACAGTTAGTCAGTTTGGCTCCAGTGTCAGAATGGCCGCTTCAGTCCTGCTATAAGTCGCTGATCGCCGCCATTACTAGTATAAAATTAAAGAAAAAAAATTCCAGTATATATACTGCTATTTGTAGATGCTATAACTTTCCCGTAAACCAATTAATTTACGTGTATTGGGATTTTTGTTAGCAAAGCAATATAGCAGTATACATTTTGGCCTACATTTATAACAAAATTTGATTTTTTTAAATTTTTTGCTGGATATGTTTTATAGCAAAAAGTCAAAAATATTGTTTTTTTTTTTTTTCAAAATTGTCAGTCTTTTTTGTTTATAGTGCAAAAAAGTTAAAAATGCATAGACAATCAAGTACCATCAAAAGAAATCTCTATTTATGGAGAAAAAAAGGACAGAAATTTAATTTGTGCGCAGCGTTGCATGACTGCGCAATTGTCAGTTAAAATAACGCAGCGCCGTATCACAATAAATGGTTAGGAAGGGGGGTAAATCCTCTGGAGGGCAAGTAGTTAACTGAACAAGATGAAGTTAGAAGCATATTGGCTACCATGCACAATTGCACAATATTTTGCACTCTCTAGTTTTAGTAAATCAACCCCATGGCCTCCTGATTGATTTAATCTGGCCATGCATAGATCAAAATTCAGCCAGTGCAGCGGGGACGGGATGTATTTTTGATCCATGTATGAGCACCCTGGTTGTACACAAGTCAATCTATTGATCAATTGATCCACTTGTGTACAATCAGCCTGTGGGGTTTTTCCAAACAGTACCGCTGGCTACAGGCAGCAACACTAATTATTGTGTTCTGCCAGCAGGGAAGGCTCCCCACACAATAGCACTGTAGAAAGGATTCCCCTATTACCACTCACTGTGTTGATGGGGGAATTGAGCAATTTTCTTCCCTTCCACCCTGCATTAGACACAATTTAAATTAGAATAAATTATGCTGTTAAGGGATGTTTTGGTTTTGCATTCAACTGTATTTTGATAAATTAGATTATGAGACTGCATAGTAAAAATCAAATCGGAAAAGCGTAGAATCCTAAACTATTCGCCTGGCAGTACTAGGGTCAGTGGTTCAGATCCCAACTACGGCACCACCTGCCTGGAGATTGCATGTTCTCCCTGTGCCTGTGTAGGTTTCCTCCCACACTCCAAAGATATGCTGGGAGGTTAATTGGATCCTGTCTAAATTGGCCGTAGTATATGTATGTATGAATGTAAGTTAGGGACTTTAAATTGTACACCCCTTGAGGGTTAGGGACTGATGTGAATGTACAATATATATGTAAAGCACTGCGTAAATTGACAGCGCTATATAAGTACCTGAAATAAATAAATCTTAAAATGCCCCACCAAAAAGGGGAAGTTCCACATTAAGGCTTTGTCCCTCACTCCGCAAAGGTGTCAATCCTTAACGGGGAGCATGGGACAAAGCGGGGGACTAATTTTGACAGTTACCCGCTTCCACTTCCACTGCGATCGCCTAGACCAGGGGTAGGCAACCTGAGAGCCGCAGGACTACAAGTTCCATCATGCCTCTGCAAGTCATAGCTGTAACTGTCAGTTTTGTAATCTTTGCAATGCCTCATGGGAAATGTAGTTCCTCAACAGCTAGAGAGCCACAGGTTGCCTGCCCCTGGCCTAGACAATCAGAAGTGGAAGTTCTCTTCCCACCAGCAGTCTTCTGGGACATGACAGGTCGCAGAGGACTGCGGGACCATTCACAATGTGCAGCACAGGTAGCACATGCGTGGTGGTTGCCCAGCTGTGAAGCTGCAAGCTGTCACAGCCGGGTACCCACACTTAAAATGCGGCGCCGGAAACACAGGATGGCCAGTGAACCCAGCTGCTGTGAGGACACCACTTGATCCTAGGACAGGTGAATGGCTGTTTTTTAAAAGTCAGCAGCTACAGTTTTTGTAGCTGCTCACTTTTTTTTTCACCAGAGACTGAATCTCCACATTACCTATCAATCTAAATAAACTTCCCCATGTTTGGCATTTCAATTGAGTGGGTTGTCGATTATAGATCAATTATTCCTATCAGAAGAGATCAATCAGAAAATAAATTGTTCATTTATCAAAATGTGTATGATCACTTATACCGATGACTCTGATTCACTTACCAATGTCAAAGACATTTGATGAATCTGCAGACTCTGGAATGCATTCAAGCACTTATCTCTATATAGTAACAGCTTTGTAAGTGTACATAAGTGAAGGGCCTGATGTGTTGCTCTTTCAGGATTTATTTACATGAAGACGTAGGGCCTATTTTCTAGGGAAACATACAGCTTCTTTCAAGTGCACAGGATTAACATCTTCTCTAGTGGATTAAAACAACTTCAAAGCATGCAGGAACAGAATTTAAAAAGGATGGAGGTTATTAGGTATATCTCTACTATGTAACATCCACAGGATGTGACCATGCTATAACAAAATGTTTATTTACAGACATGTCCTTTTCTAAAATAGTTACCATACCACATATTTCATATTATTTAACATCTTCCATGTTATATATGTCTGTGTGAAAAAAAAAATTAAAAGCATTTGTAAAATGTAGATTGTGACCTTTTTTTGTCTTTTTAGTGCATAAAACAATGTAAATTGTAATTTTCGGTGCTATTTAAAGTACTGAAAATATAAGTTGGCAATTACTTGTCTTGGCACGTGTTAATTAGACTTCAGCCTGCATGTTAATAAAAGCTTGTCCATGGCTTAGAAGCTTAGATGGTATATATTTTGTGTAAATACACATGATCATGGGATGCTTGGTCTTCGGCATTACTCTGAAAGAAGTCTCATGTTAAGCTGTGCTGACACTTTCCCGGGTGGGGTCGTCTGTGGGAGTCATTTGCAGGATGGAGAGATCCTGTGTCATTGCAGTGCAATATTACAGATACTAACACCCCCCCTCCCCCGTCACATCAAGCCGACTTTGAAATTGTGCGACTTACAGTGAAATCGCACGATTTCAAAGATGGGGGACATGCCGATTTAACGTGCAATTTGTAAGACATCGGACACAGATGTCTATGCAAATCGCACCAAAAGTAGTACATGTAGTGCTTTACATACATATCTTGTACATTCACATCAGTCTCTAACCCTCAAGGGGCGAGCAATCTAAGGTCCCTAACTCACATTCATACATACACATACTAGGACCAATTTAGACAGGAGCCAATTAACCTAGCAGCATGTCTTTGGAACGTGAGAGGAAACCGGAGAACCCAGAGGAAACCCATGCAGACACAGGGAGAACATGCAAACTCCAGGCAGGTGGTGCCATGGTTGGGATTCGAATATTTATTAATATTAATAATAATCCATACTTTTTATGTATAAAGTGATATAGAGTAAACTTTTTCTTACTACATTTCTTTGCACCTTGTGCAAAACACTTTACATAGCGTTACAGACAATGCTGGTGATATATTAATAATAATCCATACTTTTTATGTATATCACTCCGGTCACATCAAGCCTGACTTTGAAACCGTGCGACTTACAGTGAAGTCGCACGATTTCAAAGTCGTGTGAGATGCCGATTTCAGGTGCAATTTGCAAGACATCTGACACAGATGTCTATGCAAATTGCCCCAAAAGTAGTGCATGCAGTATGTTAGAAAAAGTCAGAAACATACCGATTTGACCGCTGTAACTGCAGACAATAGGGTGCGACTTGGCATACGATTTGCAAGTCGCATGGCATGCAAATTGCATGCAAAATCACACCCGATGTGACCGTTGTGTAAATGTAGATACAAAGCATTACAATACGTGTGACTGTATGGAGCATTGCTTGTATATACTGAGCAATTAGTCCTGCGACTAATATACCAAATGCCCTGGAGCAGGCCACAGTTTATGCATCTTTATTTCCTGCAACCATGGGTTGCAAGAAAGAAAATCGCTCGATTCCCCCATCAACAGTCAGTGGTGATGGGGAATACCTCCCTCGGAGCTATGCTGTTCTTCCGGCGAGATGGGGGGAGCTGGGACCAGCCTCTGACAATAATCATGTGCTAAAATTCTGACATGCTGGTTGTACCCAACTCGACCGTTGGTTCAACTTGGATACAATCAGCCTGCCCATAGATGGGTCGGATCTTGGGTGGTCCCTGCTGATCTGGCTTTACCTTATACAATTTTCTTTCCAGCAAAGAATTGCAGAAAATAAAATAGCTTAATTCCCTCAGCGAAACATTCAGTGTTGATGGGGGAATCCCTTCTTTGATATTCTGCTGGCGGGGAGCCTTCCCTATAGCTAGGGGCAGTGATCGCAAGCAAAAAATCCCACAGGCTGGTTGTACTAAAGTCAATCAATGGATTAACTTTGGTATGATCTGCCATGCCCATAGATGAATCAAATTTCGACCAGTCCCTGCTGAACCAAACAAAATTAGATCCAACTATGGCCAGTTTAGGCAGAAGGATCTACCCACTGGCAAGCATATGTAAATTTAAAAATGAAAAACTCTTAATTAGTTCTTTAGGTCCCTTTTACACTGATCCAGTGTGCTTCTCTTGCAGTGTAGTCTATTCAAGGTCTTCATGCGGGTTAACTGCCCTTTGCCATAGACTTCTATTTTGTCCCACTGTTTTAGTGTACTCCCTGAAAGCACACCAAAACTGTGGGACACAACAGAAGTCTATGGCAAAGTGCAGCTAACCCATGCAAAAACACAGGTACACTGAGCTGCAACTGCGCTGCAGGAGAAGTGCACCAGATCAGTGTGAAAGGGGCTTTAGTCATAGTCAAATGGATAGTATTGTAGTGTACTGCTCCTTAGATGTGCTCATTTTTAACACTCGGTTTTTTCCCTTTATTTTAACCTGGTAACCCTGCCATTGATTCACTTTCTGTTATAAGGTGACAACCATACTGAGCAAAACCATACTGAGCAATATTGTTATCCGAGGACCTTAGGACCAGGGGTGGACTGACAACTCATGGGGCCCCTGGGCAATAGGAGATCATGGGGCCCCTGTGTCCTCGCCCACACTCAAACCACACCCCAAAAAAGCCTATGAAAGGTACCAGGGGCATCTCATGGGGCCCCCTACTGACCCCGGGCCCTCGGGCAGTGTCCTAATGGTCAGTCTGCCCCTGCTTAGGACTACATAACACCTCCCTCTCTTCTCCATAAAATGGGAAGGTGTTTTGCAGTCCACAGAGATACCTGGAAGCAATGCTAATTGATAACAGTCCAGAGGAAGGGAGTACAGGAAGATGTCAGCTCACAAGATTTCTGGCTGGATGAACAGCTACTTTTTTTACTCTTCTCAAGCAGATATGATAAAACCTTTTCAATGATATATTAAAGTTAATCTCCAGCAAACCTAAAAGCCCTCCATTGCAGTGGGGCTGTACCCACACTGCAAAGGGTTAACTGTTCAAAACCTGATCCTTCCCTCCTGCCGGCTCCTCTGTGCTGCTAGGCTGGTCTGTGCAGTCTCTTCTCCCTTATGCTCCAGCAGTCTAAGGTCCATTGACAGCATCAAGACTGATGAAGGAACAGTCCGTCTCTGGAGCATGGGGGAGCACTGTCTATAGGAGGTGCAAAGGATCAGATAAATTATTGCATTATAGAGGATTTCTATAATGCCAACAGTTTGTGCAGCTCTTTGTAACATAAGGGCAGACAGTATAGTTACAATACAATTCAATACAGGAGGAATCAGAGGGCCCTGGCAATTAGGTCGTACAATTATTATTCTACAGGATTTATATAACGCCAACAGTTTGCTCAGCGCTTTACAAAATGAAGGTAGACATTACAGTTACAATATCATTTGGTACAAGAGGAAACAGAGGGCCCTGCTCGTTAGAGCTTACAATCTAGGCGACAATAAAACTTCTTTTCAGTCCCCTAGACATAAATGAGCAGTTAACCCTTGCAGTGCCAGGGAGAGATTTCAAGTTTTTCTTGGAAATGGGCTTCAACAAACCAAAAACAAGCAAATAAGAAACATTTATTGTTAGAGTATACATACTGTACACTTTAAATATACCACTGAAAGCATTTTATTATACAGTATATGTTTGGTAAATGCCCATTGATCCTGCCAGAAACCTTGTCAGCTAATAACTCTCTATGCTCTCTGCCTGTGCTGCACTGTTATCACTTACAATACTCCCAGTGTTCCCTGTGGACTATAAAATGCACCTTCTTCCCAAGTTACGGAGAAGATTGAATAGGAAAGTTTTATGTAACTGTTATCACTTACAATGTTCCCAGTGTTCCCTGTAAACTACTAAATGCACCCCCTTTCCAAGAGAAGAGGAAAGTGGAAAGTATTCTGTAATCCTGTACTAGGGTGGCAACACTACTCCTCCATAGAAACAATGAGTGCGTTGTCACCTTAGGAGAGGAAGTGTGATACTGGCAGGATTACCAAGGCAAAATAAAAGGAAAATGCCTAAAAAAAAAACTATTGCAGACACTGAGGCCCCATTTGTTCCCACTACACAATTTTGACATTTTGATTTTCATGCAATTGTGTGTGTCACATAGGACAGCCCATTCACTTGTATGGGTAGCCCTATGCATGTTTGTCACCCAAAAAAAAGCCCTTGCTCCTTTTTGAGTCACAAGCTTTGTACGATTTGTGGATTTTGTCACCATTTCTTTGTGATCCTATCTTGTGACAATTTCGGAAAATTTGCATCTCGTTTGGTGTGCCATAATGGCACCCAAATGCGCACAGTGTGTTGTGCTGCAATTGCCATGCGATTTGGGATCGCAGGCAGAATTGCAGAGATTCTGCCAGCGGTCCCAAAGCATGAGATGTGAACGGTGCTTTAAGGGCTGATAAACTGCAATAAGATTTAGATGAGCTTTAGGTATCATATTTGCTGTGTTCCTATCATTGACATTATGAATAGCTAATAAATATCTGGTGATCCTGCCACTACCTTCTGTAGCGCTTAAGGGCTGATAAGCTGCAATAAGATTTAGATGAACTTTAGGTATCACATATTCTGTGTTCTTATCATTGCCATTGTGAATAGCTAATGAATATCTGGTGATCCTGCCACTACCTTCCGCCAAACATTGCTTTCTGTGTTGGGCTGACAACGCTAACCGTGGACTGCAAGGTAGAGTTGTCAGCATGCATGTCCTTTCCCAGACTGAGACCAGCAGAGTGCTGTGCCAACATACTGGGTGTCTGCAGTCCTATTATTAGCCTATGACATCCCAGGCCGATATACCCCACTGTTCTGCCCTGCCATAGAATGATTGACAGCCGCACCTGCTGCACCCTTGCCTTTTCCAGAAGAACTGAGCACAGAAATATTGCAGTGCGGTGACTAAAAATTACTCAAAACAGTGTTTTGCTTATTTATGTATTTATGTTTTACAATATTGATGCCATTTCTAATGTTATATGACTCTACTGACATCATTCCCTGCTTTACTAATCTTTACTTTACAAATGTTAAACACCAGCACTACCCATTGGCACCAGTGTGTATTCAGTCCTATTATCACACTAGGGATTTAGCTATGTATCCGCTTATAGCAATGCAGGGTAATAATTCTATATACATGTTAAGTATACAGAGTTTCTTCTATGTGCTGGCTGCTATAAGAATCAGAATCAGCTTTATTGTCAAGTGTGTACAGGCATATAAAAAAAATTGTCTTCAGTTTAAAGTCGAAATGTTTAAAATGGCTCTCAGTGCACTTTGCACGTAGGTAAACATCTATGCGTATGTGCACACCCACACATACACCTACACACACATATACATACACTCATTGAAACAACAACACAAAATGCAAGGCTTAAGCACAAGCTCTTTTTGCATTAATATATGTGTGTGCGTCATATTTCTATACCTGTGCGTCTTCACTTGCAAAATACACAGATTCCTCCATCCACACAAAAGAGGTAGATGGAGGAATTCCCCCCATTCCCCAAACCCCTATCAGAATGCACTGATCATTGTCTGTATCCACTGATCGATGGAAATATTTCCAATATATCCCTTTGCCAATCCAACAATCAATTTCTGTCAAGCAGGGACTGCCATACACTGACTGAAATGTGGCCAGTCCTTGGTGAACCTACTGAATTTCAATCAGTATATGGCTAGTATTATTCATAACCAATATGAAAACAGTCGTACTTATAATATGGTCTTTAACCACTTCCTGAGCGCCCTACAGCAGAACTACTGCTACAGGTTGGCAGGGCTGCTCAAAATCACGTGTATATATATATACGTGATTATGTATTTCCAGGTAGAGAGCATACATTTTAATTTGGGTGCAACGTTGCATGACTGCACAATTGTCAATTAAAGTAACGCAGCGCCGTATTGCAAAAAATGGCCTGGTCAGGAAGGGGGGTAAATCCTCTGAAGGGCAAGTGGTTAAAGCAGAAAGTTTAAAATCCTCCCTTGCAGTGGGGCTGCCCCTGCACTGCAAGGGTTAAATGCTCATTTTGGTCTAGGGGAATAAGAAAAGAAATGTTGCTTTTTCCTGATCCTCTGCTCCTGCAGGCTCCTCTGTGCTGTAAAACCAGTCCCCCAGCCTCTTCTCCCTATGCCCTGGTGGTCGCAGTTCCTCTGACATTATTAAGACCAATGCAGGATCCATATACTTGCACTGGATGTTGAGGATGCTGGGGAACAGGCCACCGCTGGAGCGTTGGGGAGTTCCAACTGAAGGGGTGTGAAGGATTGGGTACGTAAAACTGCTGTTCCCATCCCCTAGACCTAAAAGATCATTTAACCATTGCAGTGTGGGAGCTGCCCTACTTCAAGGGAGTATTTTTTTTCCCCCCGAAGTTGAGCTTTAAATGAACACAAATAGTTAATAATAATAATAATAAAAAAAATTAATAATACATACTTCCTACAACACTTATTTATAGCCTGTGCAAACGGTCCTACTGGAAACTTGATAATATGGGCTTTAAATTAACTCAAATAGTTAATAATAATAGTTATTAAAATAATCATGATAATAACAGATATCTCCTTTATATAAACTAGCGTATAGGTGCAGGTGTTACAGCGCTTATTTAGAGCCTTTGCTAACACTTTATACAGTGCTACAGAACATGTTGGTGTTATTTGTTAATAATAATAAACACAATAATAATAAATATTTTATATGTATGAAGCAATGTACAGTTACATTTTAATTACACTTATTTATAGCCTATAGCCTTTGCAAACACTTTGTATAGCGCTACAAAAAATGTATTCATAATAATAATATCATTAAATACACTTTATATGCATACATTAATGTGCAGTTACATTTTTGTTACAATACTTATTTATAGCCTGTGCATACAATCTTACTGGTAACTTGACAATGTGGTCTTTAAATGAACACAAATAGTTAATAATAATTGCTTCCTATATATAAACTACTGTACAGGCACAATGTGTTAGAACACTTACTTACATCCTTTGCAAACATGTTATATAGTGATACAGAAAAATGTTGACGTTATTTATTATTATTATTATTAATACAGATAATAATCAATAATAATAATATTAATACTATTCATCATCATCAATACTTTATAAAGTAACATACAGTAACATTTGTGTTACAAAACTTATCTGTACCCTACGCAAACACTTTATGCAGTGGTACAGAAAATGTTGGTGATATTTATATTCATTGTAATAATAATCATCATCACAATCATCATCACTTTATATGTATAAAGTAACATACAGTTACAATGTTGTTACAAAACTTATTTGTACCCTGTGTAAATACTTTCTGCAGTGCTACAGCAAATGTTGGTGATATTTATTAATATTAATCAATATTTGATATGCATCATGTAAAATACAGTTCCATTTTTGCTACAACACTTATTTATTGCCTTTGCAAACACTTTATACAGCACTACTGAAAATATTGGTGATATTTATTAATATTAATAATAAGCTATACTTTTTATGTATAAAGTGATATACAGTTACATTGTTGTCACAACACTAATTTGCATCCTGTGCAAACACTTTATACAGTGCCACAGGAAATGTTGGTGATGTT